TGGGTGACAGGTTTTCTTATTTGTGTGAAGAGTTTTGCAAAATTAGCCAATAGTTACAAAATATGTGCTTAAGCAATCAGAAAAAACTGTAAAAGATGCCTGAAACAAATTATTCTCAGGTCTTAGATGTGAAGATTTGCTGCTTTCCTTTAAATTATTGACTAGTTATCGCTTAGTGTTCATAAGACTTGATTAAAAACAGCAGGAAAAAGATGTAATGTAATGTTTTCAGTGACGCTGCGTGCAGATAAACAGAATCAACCTTTTGGGATTTCCTTACCTGAATGATTGAGCGTGCATCAAGACGTTGATTTATTTTTTCTTTTTACGTTTATTTATACGTTTTTTTTTTATCAGCTGTTTGATGAAAATCTAGTGGCTGTATGGTGAGTCAAAGGTACAGTTTTTCTCATGTTAAATTTGGAACTATTCAGAAAATCAAAAGCATATTGTGGGATAATCTCAGAGGCAATATGTCAGTAATTACAGGGTAATTGATTCAGGTCTTTCAGAAATATGGGGAAATTATAGTTATAGATATTACTCTTATAGTAATATCACTTCTACAGTAACAGTAAATGGCAAATCTTCCTCTTACTAGTAGAGTAGTTTTTTATTAAAAGAAATACACAAAATAAATTCAATAGACTGGCTTTTTTCCATAACGTTTTATCGATGTCTTAAACTATTTAGTTTGTATTTCGTGTATTTTCTAATGTTTTAATATCGCTTTCTTAATTTTTTCTAATTCCGATTTAGAACAATTAACGTATTAATATACTACAATAACGTTTATTGTTGTTGTTGAAAATAATCATCATTATTGAGTCCAGCTGTTTTGCTGTCATATAAAGGCTGCACTCCTCGACCTGCCAACGATCGCGAGATTGAGGCCACTGCGAGAAGAACGGGTCCAGGCAAGGCATAGCAATATTCATATTTAGCAGCACGAGCAGCAGCAACAATAATAACAAGCAGTTTGTCCGGTTATGTAGGCAGGAGGAGAGATGAAACGCATGGTGCCAGCTTCAGCCAAAGACACGGATGGAGACACGGGACTGTGATTTGCAGGTACACGAGACGCCGCGCGCTGTGCTCAGGAAACACTGATAGCTAGGTTTATTAATAGCTAGCTAGCTAGCTAGCTGGCTAACGGTTAGCTTAGCTCGCGGAATGTTTGGCTACAACTGCTGTGGGATGATTCAGTGTGTGGTCGTCCTCTCTCTGACCACTTAAACCAGCAACAGCTGACTGAACACAGGCGCGACTGAGGGGCAGGTGCGTGGGCACGTCGAGTCTGTGGGGCTAACGGTGGCCAGCTAACGTTGCACGTCTTTAGAGAAGCTGAATGAGCACACTGCTAGTTCATGTTAGCATGCTAACGAGCCACTTAACGCTGCTGTGAGACGCTCTGTTATCAATAATCTGTAATCAATAATCAGGTGCTGGGGGAAGTGTTCGTGTCTTTTTGTCATTAAGGTGAAAGGTAACAGCGGTCAAAATAAAATGATACTAAAAAACCGTTTTAATCATGTTTTTAGCAATAAAATGATCAATAAATCAGTTTTCGAGAACCCTGTGAGCAAACAATCTTTAATATACAAAAACTGGAACGTTTGGTCTCTGGACAGGAGTGTGCAAAAGTCTTACATCATCTTATGTCTTTATATATTGTAGGAAAAAAGGAAATGAATGTATGGTGCATTAAAACGTGTGCCAAGCATACATGGAAATGTAGTTAATAAGCCAAAAATGGGAGTGTAATTCTAGTGAGATTGAAAGTAAGTGTTTGGTGTGAGCGCCTTTATTCTTCAGCGTAGCCAGAAGTTTCTGTGAGGATCTTCAGGAATCGTTCTTCAGGCTTCTTGAAGGATAGTCAAAGCTCTTTTGGATGTTTCTGCCTCTTTGTTCTGTTCTTTGTCAGGATGATCCCGGACTGCTTCAGTAATGTTGATCCATGACTGATAATACTATTGCTCTCTTCAGGCCGTGTTTGGCATCTTTGTCAGGCTGAAATCATTTTTCCCCGATGGTTTTGCACAGTTGACCAGACTCTGATGGTGCTTTTCAAAGATCTCAAACACCACTGACTGAAATGCAAATGAGAGCCTCCACCGTGTTTTATATGTAATGTGGCATAGCTCAGCCTTAACTTCCCGCTTTCCCTTAAGAACTGATTCTGGACAGCCAGCCCTCTGAGGCTGCAGTGAACGTTAGACGGTCAGCTGAAGGTCCAAATGCAAAAACACAATCTTGTCTTTCAAATCGTGATATCTTCTGTACTTTAGATTCAGCCACTGAAATAAGAACAAATGTATTTTTGTGACAGGCAGCTGGTGACAAAGAGCCTAAAGATCGAACTTTTTTCCTATGTGTGGACACAGCACTGGTTCATCCCTTGAGTCAGGAGTCTTTTTATCTTTGAGTGATTAATAGGTCAAAGTTCAGAGTCTTAACAAAATCTCAGGTACAAGGACTGGACTGGAAATGAGTGAAATAAAAACTTTAAAAGACCTTCCGAAATCTGGAGGCTCCCAGTAAGCGAAATTTAAAGAAATGAGTGGCTTAAAACTTTATACCTGTACCTGTCGATACCGAATGCTTAAATGCCCTCAAACTTCAGAAACGGAAGATTTTTAGTTCAAAGTATGACACGTGCTTACGATGAGACATCTGTTGTCCAAAAGACTTCCTGTTACAGCAGCCAAAACATTAAACGCAGCCTATAATAAAATCACTTCAAATGGAAGTTAAATAAAAAATGTAACAAAACTGAATCATATTCAAGAATCTAAAATAAGAACCAAACTCAAACCCCCAAAATTCTTTGAGCAATATGAAGGAGCCACAACACGGATTCAACGATGACGCAAAGTTTTACACGACGAGTCTGAAGAAGGAAAAATTAAAAACTCTACGTTAGAAGGTAGACATGATCTAGAGAGGCGTCCAGTCCAACATGAAGCCACGATGAGTGAAATAACCGCTGGCGACATGGGCGGGTCATGAGTTGACCCTGCCTCAGCTTCCACTTGATTACCAATGTGCAGAATAGCACTGATGGGCATGACGCTGTGGTAAATCTGGCAGCTGAATCCTGCGACGTTTGTGAGCAAAAACGAAGCATGACTGAACCACTTCCTGTCTCAACGTCACCCTAATGTTAAATTTGCATCTGTGACAGTTATTTTAAAAAATTAACTAGGAAAGAAATCGCTCTTTCAAAATGATCAGATCAGTTTTATATTTTTATTAATCTGGATGTTGGGAAAATCACAGCAGGTATTACAAAAAGTGAAAGCTGAGCTCGCGATTCAGCGACGCCTCAAACGATTGTTGTCGTTTCTACGTGTTCTGATCCTAACGGCGCCACTGTTCACCTGATCGGCGCTTCATGTGTGGGTCTGTTTCCTATAAAAAAAATATTTGAATCACAAAGATTTTCAGACATTAAAGGCCGTCGTTGATCTCTGGCATGTTTGTCATGCTTCAACAGTTGCAGTGTGCAGACGCTGTTTCTGCTCGTGTCACTAACGTTTTTTCCCTTCTCTAGGATGTGGCGGCGCTCCTGTCATACAGACAGACATTGAAGAAGAGGCGGACCTTGTGAATCGTCTAACCTCAGACTGCACGTTTCCTGTGTGGGAGCCTCTTTGGTTTTTTCTGGCTGAAGTCTTTAGTCTCATAAATAATGTAGCAGAAGTTTGACCGCCTCTAAACGCCGTCGTTATCGTGGTTTGTTGTTTGTTCTTCTCCCTCGATGGGGCAGAGCTTCACCCTCGTTTGTAAATTGGTAGACTGATGTGGTGCAGGTGCCCCCCCCCCACACTGAAGTAATCTGACTGATCATTGAGCCCCTCGGCGCCTCACGCCTTTCAGGAGGATGAACGGCTCCCTTTTAACCCCACCCAGCCCTCGGGCGGCAAACTCCTCCCCTTTACCTCCATCTCCCTCCCCCTCTCCTTCCCCGCCCTCTCCTTCCCTGCTGCCCTTGTCCTCGCGCCCTCCCCCTCTCCCTCCGCTGATGAGCCCGCCATCCCAGGCCCATCCGTCCTCGCTGTCGGACACGCCCACGCCATCGCCCTCACCTTGCTTGAGCTGGACCGAATTCTGTGAGCTCCACGCCCGCGTCGCAGCCGGCGACTTTGCACGTCACTTCCGGGCGTTTCTCTTAGAGAACCCGCACTACTCCGCAGACTCTGCCGCTGCCTTCTGCCGCCGCTTCACCGACCGCTTCGTTCGCCATTTCCAGAGCGAGCTGGAGGGGGCTCTCCCGCCGAGCTGTTCCTCTGCACGGGATGAAATGGTGAGCTGGGCTCCCCAGTCAGACGCTACGTCTCTGGAAGAGGAGGCGGTCTCGCCGCTGTCCACGACTGGAGGGGCGGTCCCCCTGTGCCCTCCGACTAACACGACGAGGGGCACGAAGCCAGCGCCGGCACGTCTTGTGTTGGAGAACCGTGGCGGGGACAGGTTTCAGGATTCTTATGCCCACAGCCAAGTCATGCCTCCATCATCTTCGTCATCGTGCTGCTCTTCCGTAGGAGGGAACAACGGGAGGCGTGAGGAGAGTCGAAGCGTGGTGGCTCCAGGGAACGGCGACGCGCCTGTGGAGGAAGAGGAGGACAGCTGGCTCGGGGCGGCGTCCGTCGGCGAAGAGCTAGAAGAACGGGAAGCGGACTCGTCAGAGGTGGACAACGCAGACTCCTCCCACACTCCTCAGAATCCACCCTCCTCAGTCACTCCTCCGCCCGGCTCCAAGGTGAGCGGCACGCCTGGCTCCTCCAAAAACAAGCTGAAGAAGCGTTTCTCGCTGCGGAACGTGGGGCGCAGCGTGCGGGGCAGCGTGCGAGGCATCCTGCACTGGCGCAGCTCCTCCAGCGACGCCACGCAGGCGCAGCTGCCCTCCAGCTACAGCTACACCATGGGCGTGCAGGACACCTCTAAGAGGACCTCTGGCACTCAGCCTCCTACACCCACCTCCTCCATGCCTGTTTCTCTGTCCATGCCCCTCTCGCTTCCTCATTCCTCCTCCTCCTCACTGCCCCCTTCGTCATCGAGCAGCGCCACCTCCCTGTCGTTGTCAGAAGCCGCTCGGGATCGGCGGCGGAGCAACGGCGAAGGAAGCGAGAAGGAGAAGTGGAGCCATCGTCTGGAGAAGCTCAGATTGTCACGATCCCCTCCTCCCATCCTCACCTCGACCGCCTCCAGCTCGCACTCTGCAACGCTGCCTCCGAGCAGCGCCGCCGCCATGGGTCCTCCGAGGAAGGTGGGCCGGCTGGTACGGGAGGGCGGGGTGAGCGTCAGCTCATCCAGTGACGAGTGGAGCGGCAGCCACGGCTTCTCCGGCTTCTCCTTCGGTCTGCTGCATCACAGTACGGACAACAATCCTGCCTCAGCGCAGTCTCCTGGAGCACAGCCGCCACCGGTGCAGTCTCTCGCCAGCGGGGGGAACGTGCCCTGGAGGGGAGGACGCTGGCACAAATGTCGGCTGGTCCTCCGAGAGCGGGACAGAGAAGGTGGCGAGCGTGGAGAGGAGTACTACCTGGAATTCTTCATCCCACCCAAAGTGAGTTCTGAGTAAACCTTTTAACTTGTGTTGTTGCTCAAAACAGGTCAAAGAGAAACGACTCGAATTTTTATTTCCTGACTCGATGAACATCTGCAGCAGAATCATTAAAAACGATATTGCAGAAAAGTAGCTTAAAAATCACACAAGCTCAAACATCAGTATGAAAAGTGGTGGCGGTGTCTAAATACTGTTTTTATTTGGTCTTCTGAAGCTTTGAGGGTCACAGGAGCCTTTAAAAAGTCCACAAAGGGGACAAAGCTTCACTTCCTGCCATCAACCCTACAACAGCTAAATGTGTTGAGCCGTCAGTCGATTGGTTCATTAGTCAGGCATATGAAGCTGTCAGCAGAATAACTTGTAGCTCAGCCTGTCCTGGTTGTTACTGGTCAGGAGTGGTAGGACTGCCAGTGTCACCATCACCCACACTTCTCCAGCTGCCTGAACACGACCTTTGACCTGCTGCTAAATTGTGTGGCTGTATAACTAAACGGCAAACCTTTTGTCTCAGTCATCGAAGCCTCGGCTGACTGTGCCCTGCTGCTCCATCGTGGATGTGAGGAGCACCACGGCGCTCGAGGTCCCCGACAAGGAGAACACCTTCCTGCTGCAGGTAACCACGCCGTCAACCATCGGCTCTGATTCTTATGTCTACACAAACAATCACATGCCGGCCGCTCAGTGCGTGTATGCAATGTGCAGAATGTAGTCTGTGAAAGCTGAAGGCGTACCACGTGAACACAGGCCGCTTCATTGTTTTAGCCGCAGGAACTAAACCAGCAGGAAGAATGTGACAATCCAGAGACGTGCGAGCGAAAGCAGGTCAGAAGAATCTGGCGTCTTTATTTTTGTGGAGCATAAATGTGGTGAAGCTGAGCATTGATGGACTCAAAGCAGCATCAGTGCACAGTGGGGGGTTTCCACTGTGCAAGTAATCTGTTGGGAATGAGGGGGAGGGGCCTAAACTGATATTAGGAATCGAAACGGTGGCGTTTTCATACATGAAGGTTTCACTGAAACATGAAGCGTGTTCTCTTTCTGCTCTCAGCTGGACGGGATGACGCAGTACGTGATCGAGACGCGAGACGCCGTTCAGATGAGGGCGTGGCTCAGTGACATCAGGAACGGCATCTGTCTCAGGTGAGCAAACACAAAGCAGCAGTGGCATGCTGCCTGACCAGCTCCATATGTGGTTGTGGGTGTGGCTATAACCACGTTCTCCCTCCCACAGTGAACAGGAAGATGTCGAGGGTGTGTGCGGGGGGCTGTTGGACATCAGCGGGACGCCTGAGATCGGTGACCGTCTTTCACAAGGTGAGCATGGAGTGTGAGTTTACTGAACATGGACCCCCTGATGTGGGCGGAGCTTCTGTTCATGTACATCTAACACACACTGCATAAAAGCGTTTGACAATCTCCGCTCGTTTCTTCACATCAGTGTGTTATGGTGGGATCGGAGGCTCCTCGCCTCTGATGGATCCTCTCCCGCCCGAGCTGCCACCTCGAGCGCCTCTCGATGAACCAGATGGCCGGATTCACGGAGGGGGCGGGGCTAGTCTCGGCACACCGTTTGCCGAGACGCCAGACGCCACAGGTGAGTCTGACCCAGAGATTTGTTTTGTTTTTTTTCAAAAATATTTCTGTGACACCTGAAGAATCCTGATGCATCTGCACATGTATGATCCACATCCAGCTTGAGCCTCTGCTGTTTCAGGTGGCGTGCTGTAGGTGTGTAATGTGGTCACGTGTACAACATGTAATGATGTCAGACATGCATCAGAATATCTGCACAAACAGTTGAATCAGCTTTGCTAAATGTGGAGTAGATTCTTGTCTCTGTAGAGATGTGATGGCGGTATATCGATGCTGTGATGTCACAGCGTGATGACCTTACTAGCTTTAAAGGTTTACACAAACCTTTCCTCCACTCAGGGTCTTTCCTCTTCTCTGACGTGACGCCGGTTGAGGCGGTGGAGCACCCGCTCAGCGAGTGTCAGTGGTTCCACGGCACGCTGTCCCGCCTCAAAGCCGCTCAGCTAGTGCTGGCTGGAGGCCCGGCGAGCCACGGCGTCTTCCTGGTCCGTCAAAGCGAGACGCGGCGCGGAGAATACGTCCTCACCTTCAACTTCCAGGGAAAAGCCAAGGTGAGACGAGAGCATCCCGGCAGATATTAGTCTGATTACAAAGAGGATCTCATGTCCGTCCTGTTTGACAAACTGGTTCACGTTTGGGTGACGTGATGATGTGTACGCTTTAAACGTGTCGTTGCCTTCTTCCCCGCAGCACCTCCGCCTCTCGCTGAATGAGGACGGTCAGTGTAGAGTGCAGCACCTGTGGTTCCAGTCCATCTTCGACATGCTCGAGCACTTCCGCGTGCACCCGATCCCCCTGGAGTCCGGCGGCGCCTCCGACGTCACGCTCATCAGCTTCGTGGGAGCTACCGCCATTCGGCAGCCAGGTACGAGTGAGAGCACCAGGTGTTCCCGGCGACTAATTAATGACAAATCAGATGAGACTTAAAGGAATGAGTTTGAATCTCTGATCATGTAACAACTGTTATGACATCACTGATGCTGTCTCACCATTTTCAGAAATCATTATTTGTTGGGATTCTTGGAATTTCCATTTAAAATTAAACTGGATGAAAAGTGATTTTAAAAGAGCTCTGAGGAGGCAAGGGGTTGCAAAGCAACTTGCAGATGTGCAGCTGCTGGAAAAGTAGGCGCTGTGTCTCCTGTGGTCAGCCTTGCCGTCGCTTAGCAACAGTGTTAAGTTGCATCGGGTTGAAACTGCTCAGTCAGGTGTGCAGACACCTGCAGAGCCCGGCGGTCACCTGTAAGGTGTAACCCAGCTGGAAGCAAACCTGTTTAACGTGTTCGTCTGTGGATTTTACACAAACCCCGCATGACCTGCCCGCGTCACGTTAGTAATGCCACCAACACGTCATGTGTTCCCTCCTTCCTGCAGACTACTTCCTGTTCTGTTCATGTGTAATCATCATTTATCGTCATGTCTGCTGGGATGTTTATTATACCGATGTTGATGTCCTGCCAGTAAAGTCTCCAGATTACATATTTTAAAAGTTGTTGTTTAACTGCTAAATTTAAAACGTCCTGATGGCTGTGACCTCGGCTGTGACCTCGGCTGTGACCTCGGCCTGGCAGCATGAAGTCTCACCTGCTGAAAATAAGATCCTGGCGTTTTATTCTCAGCTAAAAATGTTTTAACGACAGCACGAGTGTGACGGGGAAACGCCGTCCGATCCAGAATCAGAGCCTGAAAACATTGTTTGGGTGGTTTGATCGAACGGGAGTGCCGTCACACCTGTGAGGAGAAACTCCGCCCACCTCCACCCCTGCTCCATCTGTCCTGTGTTACTGCACCCATCGCTGTTCTGACCTCTCTGTTGTTGTCTTGTATCCGTTGGCTCGCCCCTTGCAGGCCGGGACAGGGCGGGCAGTCGGCCTACAGCCTGTGATGTCATCACCACGCGCCATCCTGACTCTCCATCAACCCCCATCTCTGACTGTGTGTAAGTGAGACCGGACTCGGCTGAGAGAGAGAGCGAGGAAGTGAATGAACAAATGATGTGTTTGGGTTTTAGTTTGGCTCTGGTCATGTGACACTCCACAGCCAATCAGGAGAGTTCGGTGGCCTGAATAAATGGCAGCTGTACTGGGGGAGGGGAGGGGATTTTTAGGATAACTGCCCAAAATTTAAAAGAAAACTTTGAATATTTTGCGGGACAAATCTGAGTTTAGAAGAAAACAGGTGAGTTTCAGAGCGAACAATGTTTATAAAGCCCGGCCTGACGGAGTGGATGAGCAGTCATGTGACCTGTTAGCACGAGTAGTGACGTCAGCGTGGCTGAAGCAGATAAGGTTATCCTGGTTATGTTCAACTTTAGTTTCAGACCCGTGTGTGTGTGTGTGTGTGTGTGTGTGTGTGTGTGTGACCTTGAATTGGACTGCCTCCATGACTCCCATGGACTTGACGACCGCTGACTCCTCCCACCTAACCAGCCACTCACTGTCGTCTCTCTTTGTCTCCCACCTCTCATCTTCCTCTCCTCCGACTGTTTCACTTTCGGCCTCATTTCCTCCTCTTCCTCCCCCCTCCTCCTCTTCTGCCTTTATTTACACTCTTCTCCCTCTCTTACCCCCTTCCCCTTTTCTTCCTTTTCTCCTCCTCTCCTCTGTCCTTGCAGACTTGACCAGCAGACCCCGTAGCCCTCCTCAGCCTCCTCCCCTGCCGCCGGGCCGCCCCCCGCCCCCGACTCCGCCCCAGGAGAGAGGAAATGAAATGGAGGTTGGAGCAGCAGCAGCGGTGTCGGCAGTGACAGTCACAACCACAGGAGGAAGCGGAGGAAGTGGAGGCGGCGTGGAGGACTGGGAGGAGAGGGACAGGGACACGCCTCTCCGCCAACTAGAAGCTGCAGACGGAGAAGAGAGGGAGGGAGCGAGGGTGCCCCGAGCCATCGATAACCAGTACTCCTTCTTCTGATGGAGGAGGAGGCGTATGTGTGTTTGAGTGTGTGTGAAAGTTGGATTGGATGAGGCGGCGTACATCATAGCCATTCATAACCAGTATTTTAATTTTGTTAGCGAGGAGGAGGGGAGGAGTAAAAGTACTAACACTATGTGAGAGAGAGACGTAGAGGCGGGTGAGCGCAGCTTTGACACTAACGAGCGGTACATTTCTTTATAGCCAGATAAGCTTTGTTTTGTTTTGCCGGTACGCCTCGCAGCAGGCTCAGCCCTGTGACGCCGGCAGACCCGACGATACCTCACAGCGGTCCTGTCAGGACGGCACACGCTAGCCAGAGGCCAAACATGCTACAGATATTCCTGCTTTGGCAGCCAGACCCGAAACATCGCGGCGCCGCAGCAAACCGAAAGCGCCGGAAATGTTGACTAAAAATGTCGTTTTGAAGCCGCGCTCGGCCAGGTAGCAGTTTATGAACCCCCACACTAACATTTAAACTCCGCCCACACATGTGACTGCTTGTATTAATACTACAGATGATGTTAACACTAAAGCCACTATTTACGTTCACTGCTTCACTTTCACAGGTCTTAGTTTAAATGGTGGAATCACGTTTTTCCGAACCTTCGTCCCAAACAGTCTGTTTTTAGCGTCGTCAGGACGCCGAGGTGCACGTTGTCGTTTCACTGTGGCGCTCTCACTGAGCTGACGGTACGTTCAGCTGCTGCTATTATTTATTCTAGAAACGCCTTTAAAGCAACACGATGGTGACGTCTGCACCGGGATGTTTGTTGGTCGGTGGTGATCGGATCCAAGGAAAAACACTGACTGAATGTGAGGCGCCGCAGGCTGACGCCTTCATGAGACTTACTGTCATTAGTTCTTGAAGTCTGAGCATGTTTTGGGTTCGTTTTATTTTCACTTTTGGACACAAATCGGTGCGTTAACTTTTTTATTATATTAAACGTCGTTATTGCCAGTGTGAGACTGTAACGATACTCGCTGCTGTTGGACTGAGTCTGCCAATCATCACCTTCATCACGGGGGGGCGGGGGCAATGTTCGGTGAGCTGCTCGTCACTTCCTTTAAAATGTCACGTGTAAGTTTAGTTTGGCCTGTGGTGTCGGCATCATTCTTAGTGGACTCGTGAGCATTGAAATGGCTTTGTTTTAATTTAGCTTAAAGTCCGACTTTCTTGACTCGTACGTCTTTAAAAAAACGTTGCTCGGTCTTAAACGGACATTTTTAAGTGGAGTCTGAGTTTGTCAGCATTAAAACATCAGATGTCATCAGTGGCGTTTGGTGCGGCTCCTCAGATTTTTGTTTTTCAAATTTAAATGCAGTTTTTGAGAATTTGAATAAAATTTTAATAAAGCCATAAATTGGCACATTTACAAAATTTAATAAAATTTTATTTATATAGCACCAAATCACAACAGTCGCCTCACCGCACTTTATATTGTGATGCATTCATGAGGTGACGAATAAAAATCGTAGCGTTTTCCTGCAGCGTCCGTCACGGCTGTTTTAAATTCTTAAACGTGTCCCAGGCCTGTGCAGCTCAAACTCCACGTGGAGCCCGCTGTGACTCTAAGTGGGCGGGGTCAGTGAGACGCTGTGTAAGAAAGTGTAACCATGTTTAGAAACCCCTGACATGTTAATGTAAGGAAAAGCGCACATTCAGCAGCGTGTCTGTTTTTCTACATGTTACACTGATGTTGGCGTGCACGTGACGACGCTGATGTCGTCGTTTCTGTAGCAGTTACTGAAGACGCGCAGCTGTTCTCATTTCAGTTTCACGTAGTTTGGTGCGACGTGATTGGCCGCGGTCATTATCAGCAGGAGAAGCTGTAAAACTAAAATCTACACCACCCTCCACCTTCTCCAAAAGCATCCAGTGGGCCAGATATGACTGCTGGGCCAATCCTGGCCCCCAGGCCTTATGTTTGACACCCCTGATTTAGAGTGATATTTAATTTAAAAAAAAAAAAATAAAAATTTTCTCACTAGTGACCATTCAGGCCTCCTAGAATGTTTTAACTTTCGTAAATAACGACGTGCAGTGACATCATGTGCACCCCCATCGTGCTGCGCGATCAGTCGCACCTTTGGGACGTACGTCCTGAGCAGTAAAGTTTATTTTCTTTTAAAGAGTTTGGTTTGGCGCCGCCTGAGAGGAGGCGGGTCGGGTCTGGATCAGGCAGGAAACATTTACCTCAGTCACTCAGCAGCATCACTCGGTGTAAATGTCTCTCTCTCTTTCTCTCGCTTTTTCTCTCCGACGCTCAAAAAGCATCTGATCTCAGAGCTGATGGTTCAGCACCAATAAGATGGAAATAATAAAACTCTGAGGGTCAGAGTGATAGTATTACATTTGTCTTTGTTTCGTACGCTTCATGTTACACTTGTTCCGACTCATCTTGTGATTCAGTTCAGATGTTTGTGCCTTTTTACGTTTGGGGATAAAAAGAAGGAATGATGACGATATAGGACTCGTTGTGCAGGTGACGGGATCCCTCGCCCTTTTCAGCCTCGCCCCCCCCTCCTCTGCCTCGTCCTGCATCATTAAAATTATAGCAGCAAATGTCGATGAAATACTTTTTCTCCTTGTGCCTTTCTGTGTCGTCTCATCACCTCTGCCTGCATCTGTCGCTCAGTTCATTTACTCATGTCATAGCCCACCCAGTCTCGCTCTGCTTTCCTTTGCTCATGTACTCGTCTGATCATCATCGCCATCATGTTCTGTGTCCTTTTCTCAGTTTCAGAACTCTTTGTGCCTTTCTCTGTCTCTTTCTCTCTTTGCTGGGACCGTGTGTTTGAAGCCGGACGGCAGCGTCTGTCTGGCCTGTGTGGTTAGTTTCAGGTACTACATTGAATTTAATGATATAATATAAATATAGTGAAACGTACTGCTGTGTCTGGTCTTTTTTTTTTAAAAAACCTTTCCTGGGGTGTTATTGTAGACGTTGATCAAATATGAGTCGGGTTCATCCAACCTTAAAAAGCTGACAAAAATAATTGGTCTGAAATTTTCTTAAGTTGCTCCACAGCAGATTTAAGACCAGATGATCAAAATCCCATCAGTATATTTAATCATGTAAATCAGTGTTTTACTGATTTAATCTCACTTGTTTTTTTTATTACCGGTACATTTAATTGTAGAATGTAGTTGCAGTGGCTGACACCAGGGGGCGCTACACTTATTGTGCATTGTGCAACCATTAGATAAATGTGGATGTTCTGGTTTTAGCATCACCCAGACTAAGATACCGGCTAATTAACACTTTCATGCATTATGACAATCTGGATTGGTTTTTAAGTATTTTTATTCATATTTAGGAATGAAAAAGATTTCTAAACTTTTTTTTCATTTCATTTTTGTTTAAACATGTGCTTTTCAAAGACTTTTACATGTCCACTTAGGTGGACAACATCACCTTTGGAGTGGGTGGCAAGTATGGGGTGACATCAGTGTCCAATGTAGTGGTTTATGTGAAAGTATACCATCAACACACAAGCAAACAGCCTTTGAATAGCTGTACCTGTAGTGATCCAATCAAATCCAGCAGTTTCACAGAACTGGAGCTCACACCTGTTGGACCGTCTGTTAGTACAGTGACCTCACAGCAGCCATATTATTGGTCAGAGGGCTCCAACAACACAGAGGTCCATGTTTGTGCAGCTACAGCTGCCTTTCACCTCTCGGTTTGCCTCTGGTGGATGTTGCAGGAACTGCAGATTTCTGAGCTTCTTCAGCTCAAAAGAGAAGCTGCTTCGTCTTCAAGATGGACATGGGTGTATTTGGACAGTCGTGATCTCAAAATGATAAAATGTTTGGAACAATCTGGAGTCCATGGTGATGCGAACAACCTGAGGTGGTACTGGACAACATCACAGCTCATTTTTAGACATGGGCGCATATTTAAAATGCAAAGTGCTTCGATAAATCTGAACTTTACTGAAAGGTGCATGCATTACTTTAAAGTCAGTAAATTATTGGTTTGCTAATTGATTCTGGATGAAAGCCAGTGAAGGGTGATTGAACCCGCTCTCAGGTTTGTCCTTTTTTGCTTGTGTTTTTGTTTTTTTACTGTCGCGAAGTTAAAGACTAAACAAAAACAAAACGCACGCGATCGTCGATGTAACATTGCTTAAACAGGGTGACGTATGATTGACAGGAACTCTAACCAATGAGGAAACGACGGCGACAAAACGAACGAATCGGTTGCCTAACGTAGATAAGTGGGCGGGGTTTGCGTTTAGTGCGCTCGTTTTAATTACCGGGGTGGGCCTGGTGAGTATGGGCGTAGCGTGGAAGTTGCCGCATCGGGGCAGCTAAGTGCTTACGTCACAGGGATGGTCATTTACACGCAGTCCAAGCTGCTCCGCTCATGAACGCGTTCGTTTGAATTTGAACTGGAATCCGTGGATCGGGCCGCCAGCCACAGTGGGGCCGCATCACGTGGGCGGCGGGACCTGGGTGCGGTAAATCGAGCGCACCTGGCGCTGTTTTGTTGTTGTTTTCCAGGTGCGCCGTGTTCGGCCTGTCAAACCGCGTGACTTCGTACCGGGACGGCAACACCGGAGTAACGGGGATGCACGTGACTAAAAAGTATTATTTACACGCTAAGCCTCGTGCACGTGTCACTCTGGCCATTTGTGGCGGTTCGTTTGTTTAAAAGTCGCCGTGTCCCTGAGCTAGCGCCGTTAGCCTGCTGCGCTAGCTTACTTTACGATTCTGCGGTAAAACTGCGCCACCTTTGCGGGACGGCGCCGTGTGTGCGGGCAGGGCCAGATCATTGCATGCTAGGCTTCAGCTGGTTTGGCGGCTTTCTGCAGAGGTGGACTCTTTGATGTCATTGTTCGCGCAGAGGACGTTTTACCTGTAATTTGTCTACCTGACGCTTTCCCCTCCTTTTTCAGGAGCAGGAGCACCATGAAGCCACCTCCACTGACGCAGTCTCCTCCTGTGCGCAGCTCTGTAAGTACAGGTGACTGCTGGTCTCAGACAGGTGTGTCTGGTCAGCTGACACACCTGCTGTTTGGAAACACAGCCTGAATAAAAGGCTTTATTAGGAAACTCCATCAAAATAAGTCATCACAGGCTCAGATGTGGAAGCTTCTCTCTGCCACTGAAACGTCTTTTTCCCATCCATTTTCTTCCATTTATCCAATTCAGGATTGTGTTTGAGCTGCAGGTTATCCCTGCTCTCATAGGCCGGGAGGTGGGGTACACCTGGACAGGTAGGCAGTCTGTCAGGGCTCGTTAACCTTAAATCTCTGGCCTGTGGAGAACTCAGACTGGGACAGGTTGGGTTAGCGTCTCAACCTTTAACGTTTTCTTCTCTCAAACAATAAAACAACTAAAATGTTGACTTGTGGATGTTTGAAACGTGTTTTCATTGGACTCGAGCTGTCAGCCGAGACTTCAGTGCTGAGGCGGCGCTGCGCTGTATTTAATGAAAGCTTAAATGTTTGAGGGCTCGTTTATTTCAGGGCGGTTTCCTGAAGCTGAGGTTTATTTCTGTGCTCCTCACCATGGTCCACGTGTACTCGTGTTTTCCCACCTGACCCCTCACAATCAGCTGACTTTACCTGCACCTTAAGTATGACCTGCTCTCACGCCTCACCTGTGTCTGCAGGTATTTGAAGGCGTCTACAACAACGCGCGCATGCTTCACTTCCTCACAGCGGTGGTGGTGAGTCCGTTTCTGCCTTTTTGTTTCTGGTTGCTGTTTTTTGGCTGAGTGCCGCAGATGCGCTGAAGCCGTCCTCTCTGCTGCTTCCAGGGCTCCACCTGCGACGTGAGAGTGAAAAATGGTGCCGTGTACGAGGGAATCTTCAAGACGCTGAGCTCGCAGGTGACTTTTTTTAAAACGGTTGATATTTTGACCTTCAGTGTTTTTGCTTCTCAGGGGTTCAAACACACGGCTCTCTCCTGCTGTCCGTTTTGTCTCTTTGCTCGTGTCTGAGTCTGCTCCCGTTGAAGGTTTCTTCCTGTTAAAAGGGAGTTCTTCTTCCCCACTGTCACCAAGTCCTGCCCTTAGTGGGGGTTTGTCTTTACCATCACTGAGTCTTTACTTTGCAATTTGACGCAGTTCTGATGCATCAAACTGCCGTCTGTGAGGTCACTCCTGCAGAAGCTTCACTGGTTAAATGGCTGTAATCTGTCTGCATGTGTCAGTGTGAGCTGGCTGTGGATGCTGTTCACAAAGTGAGTGACGGAGGAGGAGGGAGCCAGCCCTCTGCTCCCAGGATCGAGGATGTTACTGACACCATGATCTTCAGCCCCGCTGACCTCGTCACTATGACGTGCCGGGACGTCGACTTGACCTTTGCCGTCAGAGGTAAACGGGCTCCGCCCACGTTTAGATTAGAACTGCATTTATTTTCTTTAAAAAAACAAAAATCAGGTTTGCATGTGAGCTCCAGGTCTCAGGGGAGAGTCGGAGGGTTAATGGGGAATATTACCTGTGCGAGTAATAAATATTCAAAACTGGATAACGTGATGATCAGCGGCGCGTTAACTGGTTTGTGCGTCGGATGCTGCAGAGATGAAGGATCTGAAGTGGTCGGACCGAAGCCTGATTGTTTTTTTTTTTTTGTCTGCAGACTCGTTCACGGACTCGGCCATCGGCTCGTCGCGGCTGAACGGGGAGCACCGGGAGAAGGTGCTGCAGCGGTGGGACGGGGATGGAAACGGAGACGGCTTTGACCTGGACTCGGACACGGTGAGGAAGCTTTTAATTTCGAAGGGAAAGTTTTACACTGACCCGCAGCACCCCCTCTGCTCTTACTGACCTCTACTGCTGCCTCTGGTGGACGTTAGAGGAACTGCAGCTCCTGTTTCAGGCCGTTCTCTCACAGCTGAACCGAGCAGACGATTTCACAAAAACTTCTTACTGAAATGTTTGAAAACCAACGACACAAATCAGGTGGACTCTTACCTGTAAATCTCAAACGTACGGTTTTATTAACAA